CACGTGATGGAGCTACTGGGCCAAGTTTTGTGCCATTCCGGCCATTTGACGCTCCATTCGCTCCAATCGAGTATCCAGTTGGTGCAGTTGGAAGCGAAGGGCTGAAGACTGGCTATTGACGGAGGAAGAAGGTGGAGGTGCCACAGAGGAAGGTCCGGGAGCATCCGTAGAAGGACCACCGACCTCTGAGGTGGCAAATTTTGAAGCTCTGCGCTTCGGAGGAACCTGGATCGGACCCGGTGGAGCAAATTGGAAAACGCCATTCACCTGTTGCACTAAGTCCATCTTTTCCAAAAAAAAATCAAATCAAGGGGTTCCATAGTATAAGCTCAATGCAGATTATGATTATTCAAATCCAAAACCCCAAGATTTCCAACCAATTGAGTGATAAATGAGCCCAAGATTAATGGCTTATTTTTCTTACTTAAGACAGTTCGGAGGTGGAGAGCAAACCAGTAACCCAAATTGACCTTAATCCAATCAACCATGTACCAAATGAAAAAAGAATTCGAGTTTGGTCAAAATATCCTAACTATCCTTTCTACCAGAAAAACCGTAAGCCATAAATCTATGCAAATAACGGTATGCGGGGCTTTTGAGAAAAGATGCCTTGGACTGGCTAGGATCATAGTGTTGTCGGTCAATCGACAACTCTTTCTAGTAACCAGTGTTGTGGGAGAAAAATGGCTCCGTGTATTCACACAGACTGTGCATATATTCCTCGCTCTGGGAGTAGGGAATGTCAATGAACCCAAGGGTCAAATTAAATTCAGTGATAGATTGGGTGAACTCTCTACCCATTAACCTAAACCACACAACCCCTGGAGTAGTAATAGAGAATTTGTCAGGGACATTAAATTCAAAAGTGGCATAAAATTTCCAACTTAACTCAGTAAAAGTAGGTAAAATGATAGCAGCATAACGAGTCCACCCTTTGTAGGCTAAATGCTTCGTGACCTCATCCCTAAGATTCAATATATCAAGTGTAGGGCCGTGGATATATTTACAAGGAATTATCTTCCTTGTGCAAGCCGCGGCGTACCGTTCCTTGTCGGCAGCCCGGGTAAAGGTTAAATGACTGCCAAAGTGGGCCGGAGAGAAGATATAAACTTTCCAAGGTGGGTCCGGGGCCCTCCCGGAGCAGTCGCTGGGATAGGTCCACCCAAGGGGACCGTAGGCTGTGGCGTGGAGATGGAAGATTTGTTCTTGCCTTTATTCTTTGGTTTAGTCATTTGGTCTGCTGAATAGGGGAAATGTGCTAGAAATATGTGAACAGGCAGCCAACAAGGTAGGGTTTACCAACGACATCTCTCAAACACCAACAATCAGAGAAAAAGACAACAAACTCCTAAAAACTAATTAAACAGAAGAAAACAGCAAAAATTCCCCCAAATACCACTGGTTTAATCCCAAAATTTAACAAATAGTCCACAATAGCCACAGGCAAAATTACAGCACCCAAACTAAGCATAAAATGTCTGTCATCAACTAGCAAATAAAAAATCTAACCTCAGCTACGAAATTAATAATATGTCCTCAGCTAATCAAAAATTAATAATTTGGCCTCAACTATAGTGACAGAAAATTAAAGAAAGAGATCATCGGAGTTTGGAAACAAGCAGTGGGTACGGTGGTGCAACAGAGACGGCACGGTGGTGGGGGTAGCGCCCGTGAATGGCAGCACGACTGGTAGCAGGCGTGCGGGGTCGCCTGGTGTTCGTGTGTGCGAGGAGGTCACCGCTGGATCTGCTACTGCTGAGCGAGAAGGACGCCACTGGGGTCTGCTGCACGAGAAGGACGCCGCTGGGGTCTGCTAGGCTGCTGCACTCGATCTGGAGCTGGTGGTGGTGGAGCGCGGGGGCGAGGCCGCCGGTTGGGCTGGTTGTCGCGCTCGTTCAGGGCCTCACTGAGGGAGTCGCACGCTGTGGTCGGAGGGCGGCGCTGGTGCGCTGCGATGGCGGGCGTAGCGCACACGGTGCTCCTGGCTGATGCGCGCTGGTGACGTGCGAGGGAAGAAGGGAGTTGCGGCGGTGAATCGTGTCGAGCTGCGGCAGCGGACAACTATGGTGCGGCGACGGCCAAGAAAGAAAAGGAAGAAGAAGAAAGAAAGAAAGAAGAAGAAGAAAAAGAAAGAAGAAGGAAGAAAAAGAAAAGAAAGAAGAAATAGGTCAATCGTGGTGTTATCCACTTCCCCTCTTTTTTTTTAGTAAGGGCAATTTCGTCTTTTCACAAAATTCTTTTTTTTCTTTTCTAATAAAACGAACAAGGGACCCCTGCATTAGGCGTGGGCACTCCTAACTGCTATAGAGTCTTCTGACCGTCGACGCAAATTTTCTTCCCTTAAGCGTGACCACCTGACGTGGGCACGTTTAACTGCTATAGAGTCTTCTGACCGTCGCATTCCAACTCTTTTCCTTAGACGTGACCACTTACCGTGGACACGTCCAATTGCCAACTTCCTGCCACAAAATAACAAACTACTAAAAGACATCAACACTTAACAAAAACTTAAAAAATGTACGAAAACTAAAACAAATAGCCTTGAGTTGCCTCCTAAGTAGCACCTTTCTTTAATGTCTTTGGCTAGACACGGCCGGAACCCTCAAACAAGATAAATTGGATTCTTGAGGTATATAACTTCCACTTCTTCAATAGAGAATCCTTCATAATAAGGTTTGAGACGATGGCCATTCACCACGAACTTCTTGACGATGGCCATTCACCATGAGCTTCTTCTCCGTCTTTAAATTTTGAATCTCTACTGTACCATAATGAAACACATTAGAAACGACAAAGGGGCCAATCCAACGAGAACGCAACTTACCAGGAAAAAATTTTAGTCTCGAGTGATACAAGAGGACTTTTTACCCCACTGCAAAAAATTTTCTTGAGACTTGCTGATCATGGAAGATTTTGCTCTTCTTCTTATAAATCGTGGCATTCTCGTATGTTTCATTCTTAATTTCTTCTAATTCTTGTAGCTGCAATTACCTTTGAACCCCCGCTTCTTTCAGGTCCATGTTACACTGCTTCACTGCTCAAAACGCCTTATGTTCGAACTCCACGGGAAGATGACAAGCTTTACCGAAGACAAATCTGTACGGGGACATCCGAATCGGCGTCTTATACGCTATGCGGTATACCCACAGTGCATCTTCTAATTTCAAACTCCAATCCTTCCTATCCGGGCGTACTATCTTCTCCAAGATTGATTTAATCTCCCTGTTTGACACTTTGGCTTGACCATTTGTCTGTGGATGATACGGTGCGGATACCTTGTGGAACACGCCATATTTTCGAAATAGGGCAGCCACAATCTTATTACAAAAGTGTGTGCCCCTATCACTTACCACAGCTCTCGACATCCCAAAGCGGACAAATATGTTAGACTTTAGAAACTCTGCAATCACTCTAGAATCATTAGTACGCGTGACTTTTGCTTCCACCCACTTAGAGACATAATCAACCGCAATTAAGATATATACGAAACCAAAAGACAAGGGAAAAGGCCCCATAAAATCTATCCTCCAAACATAAAAAATTTTAACAAACAACATGGGGATTTGGAGCATTTGGTCCCTACGAAAAATATTTCTCACCCTTTGACACTTATCACAAGATTTACAAAACAAGTATGCATCTTTAAAAGGGGTGGGCCAATAAAAGCCACTCTCCAATACCTTACGAGCTGTTCACTTAGGCCCAAAATGCCCTCCACATGCAAACGAATGACAAAAATTTAAAATAGAGTGGAATTCACCTGCACTTACACATCTTCTTAGTACCTGTTCCAAACATTACCTCCACAGGTAGGGGTTGTCCCAAATGTAGTATTTGGTATCACTTTTTAACTTGTCTCTCCTAGTCTCGGGCCGACTTACAGGCAATTGGTTAGTTACTAAGAAATTCACGATGTCGGCATACCAAGGTGCAGGCGAATCAAAAGCAAGTAGTTGCTCCTCTGGAAATGTCTCTCTCAATGGTTGCTCCTTCTTATGTAAAGCAAGCGGTTCAAGTGATCAGCAACCAAGTTCTCTGCACCACTTTTATTTTTAATCTCCAAGTTGAACTCTTGAAGGAGTAGGATCCATCTGATGAGCCTTGGTTTCGCGTCATTCTTTGTCATCAGCCTTGGATCCATCTGCATGGTCAGAGAAAACTGTTACTTTTGCACCCAATAAATAAGGTCTAAACTTTTCTAATGCAAAAACAACAGCTAATAATTCTTTCTCCATTGTAGAGTAGTTAAATTGAGCTCCGTTCAACGGCTTCGATGCTCAGGTGCCTGTATCTACCTCTGTGCCCCTAGCCGACACTACTATGTCCTAAGACAATACTATGCTCCACCATGAAGTGACAATTTTTCCAATTAAGAACTAAATTTGTCTCTATGCATTGTTTCAGAATTAAAGATAAATTATTAAGGCATTTTTCAAAACTATTTTCATATACACTAAAATCATCCATAAACATCTCAATAATTTTTTCTACATATTTGAAGAATATACTTACCATACACCTCTGAAAAATATGCGATGAAATATGATTGACCATTGATCAAATGTGATCAACAGTAGGTTTTTAAACTTAAGTAAATTTTTTTAATGTTGCATGAGGCGACTGCAGAGAGCTAACGTCACTGCATGCGGCGACCATGAAAGTTTTTAAAATTTTGGATGCGGCGACTAACTTGTCTTGTCTGGGATTTGGTTATTTTTTCAATTAATAGGTGTCATACAGTAGAAGGAGGACGTTAAGAGAAAAGGCATTTTGGTGAGAATTTAGAAGTGGTGCATGGGGTTGGCAACCTTGCCAAATTGTTTCACATTTTGCTGCTTCCCAAGTAGAAATGGTGCGTGCGGTGGGACTCCATCATCCACCACCATTAGAGGACTAGGAACACATCCACATAGTCACACACCGTCATACATGTATACAAATTTATGTTTCAATGAGGCTTCTAGCCAAGTCTTATGCATACTTCACACATTTCTTTCTTCTTTTTATCTTAGTTTTTTTTCATATAAGAGGATCAAAAGTAACATTCTACCTATTCTTTATTGAATTAAAATCGAGACTTATAAGTATACTGCATTGGAGAAAATTTTAATTAGCTAAAAATTGATTCCCTTTTTCTTCTCTTTATTTATCAAGAAATAGAATTAGAGGCATGAGTGAGTGATTGAAAAAGAGGGAGAGAGAGGTGTGTTGCATTAAAAAGAGGAAATGCATTAAGTAGTGTGATTGTAGTTTATGCTGCTGTGGTTGCTTCCTGCAATAATTCCACCTGTCTCAATGTTAGGTGATTGTTTCTTGGGGAGATCATTCGTGCTTCAATGAATTGGAAGAGTACAAAAGCAAAGATAAATGTCACAGAAATTATATCTAACCTCTCTGATTGCTGTGACCTCTGCATGTGCAGTAGGGTCCGTGCCTTCTAAAACCATGTTGTGACAGCGCACAACAATTTCATCATTGCGAACAACTACTGCACCAAATGGTCCGCCATGTCCACACTCTACCCCTTTATAAGCTTCTTCCACTGCTCTTGTTAAGAATTTATGGTCTCTATCCTGTACAGCTGATCAGAAATAACATACCCATCATGAAGCTAGCCTACCCACCAGTTACTATAACAGTCATGTTTCGAAATCAAAATCTAAGCTACCTTAGTAGATTCAAATGGAATTTGACCATTTCAACAATAAATGTACATGGAAAAGATAACGATCAATTAAATCTGTAGTTTGTTATCAGAGGTGGCTCAACAAGAACAGGAGGAATAGGAGTTACGAAGTGGTCTGGAATGAACTCAGAACTAGTCTTACAGGTTAGTGTCAAAATTAATTAAGGTTGAACTTCACTAGAGTAGCATTATCTGTAAGAAAATGTGAATTGCAAACTGACAAGGCAAGGTTCAGTTTTCACTTCCACGGCCTGGGTCAACCTATTTAATCACAACAGATTCACCTTGTAATCAAATTAAGAATCCAGTGTTAATGCTATTCTATGTTTTCTTTTCCCTTCAAGGAACTTAAATGTGGTCAGAAGATGCTCAGACTTATCTTTAACTAAATAACACTTGAACCTACATATCCAGATCAGCTTCTGAACACATTTCTGGAAAAAGTTTCCAAAGATATCCAAATCACTAAGTTATATCAACATAGAAAACTCAAGCTACATATTACAGATCTCAAGCAGCTTAAATGTTGAATGCTTCTGAAAGGTTTTGGATGGATGATGGTGTTGTAGTTAAATCTGCTTACCTCAATAATAAGAACTAGTTCAAACATATTTATTTCAATTTTCTGAAAAATTGGGATAAGCAATGTACAGCCAACGTCTCATTTGTTTATGCAAGAAAAGATCATGAATGTTCAATATCAAAACTTCTACAAAGAAGGAGAGACAACTGATACAAAATTAAAACTGGTTCAGAACTGAGCCTATCAAATAGCTGGTTGGTGAAATATTGGATACAAATTTCAAAGGGGGAGTTTGCAAGTAAAGACCTGAATCCTATCAAAACAATGCTCGAGCTTAAGCAGCGGACACACTATTAACTGATACTATAGAGAATAGCAAAAAGAGACCAGAAGCACTAATTCAGGATAATGACTGACAAATTGAAGAGGAAAAGCTGATACAGCTTGAAAGTTTCAAAATCACATTACGAGATATATCTATACAAGGGAAAAAAAAGAAAAAAAAAAAAGAACCTGTTTAACTGTTTCTTTACCATATTCCAATGGCCTAAAACTACAGATCTATATCAAAAACACCTTTTGGTACTAAAAAGATTGACTTGATTTTGGACATTATCAAAGTAAACGAGCCAATGTTATTACCTTCCTGATGGCCAGCAAATGCAGAAGCAACAGAAATAGTTCCATCCTTTGCCTCAACAACTGAAAGTGACAATGGCCAAAATCCCAAAGAACAAACTGAAGTCAATAAACTTCAGGTAGCAATCAGAAATTCAGATAAATCACAAATCATAAGCAAGATAGTAAAAGCCAATGATCGTGTCGAGTTTTCTACGGTCTCTTAGTAAACCATGATAGAAAAACGGCCAACTTAAAAAAAAAATTAAGTGACCCCAATTGACTTTTCGTCGTTGCTGGAATTCGCACATAAGATCCAAGATTCTTGCAGACAATTATGGCACCGACAGACAGAAGTATCATTAATATTCATAGAACCAACTAAATCATCAGTTCATTCGCTACATCAAACTCCAAACAACCAATCAAACATAATACCGAAAACATCAGTAATTCCACCAGTCAATCCAAGAAATTTATCTCATTGCCTATTCTGTGGCTTACCCTTGGCTTCTTCCATTGCGAAGATGAAAATTGAGACGAATATACTCAAAATCAATGGACTTCAAGAAATGGGTTCTTTCCTTTCGTGATTTAAAGAAAAGGTTCGAATGAGAAGACAAAATATATAGGAAAGCGATGACATTTGTAAAGGAAGATTTGGTAACATAATAGAGCAGAATAAACGTGGACGGAAAGGAGCACGAGGAGAGAAGGTCGGCCACGTATTTATGAATATTTATTTCAATACATAAATGCTGAGTAGGATCTGAGAAAGGGATAAGTAAGTGGTTGAGAAAATAAGGGATAAGAGGAGGGACTCTGCGAAAAGAAAACGTGGACAAAATGGGATCTTGATAGGATTCCAAGCTTTGCTATTGGTTGGTTTGTTTGGATAGTGTATTATTTGAAATAATTATTGTACCATTATTTATGATGTGATATATGTGAGATAAGAAAGTGGTTGAGAAATATATTTATGATGCAAACGAAATATTATTTGGGATAATTTCATTATTCAAAGCGGTGAGCTGAAACAAATAGAAAATGGAATTTTTTTTTCTTGGGGAATTGTCTTTTTTTTTTTTTTTGGGGAATAATTTTTTTTAAAATTTTTTGGGGGATTATATTAAGCACATTAGCAAACTTTTGCCCACTACAACATGTCTGTTATTGAACTTCAAAAGTTATTTATAGGTTGTTATTACGTTAATTATAGTTACGATTTAGACCCTACTTGATAATCCAATTCAATATTTAAATTTAACAAGTTCAGATCTTAACATATTCAGATGCGTGTGAAACTAAAAATAGAACATCTAAATTAATTAATATGGTATACACTCAAATATATCAAATTTAATATTTAATAATTTAATAACTTAATATATTTAAATTTCAGAAACTTTAAATTTTAATTTTCAAACTTCAATTTTATCAAATATGGTCTTAGTGTAACGATAGTTACTTTGTATGGAATTAGACAAAAGCCACACAAACTACTCAAATCTTTACTTTAAAAGGCATAAAATAATCATTTACCCAATTAAGCCCTCACAAGGCAGGGCAACAAAAATCTTATATTGTCTTTAGTAAACCTCAAAAGTCAAAACAATACATTGATCAGGCAATTGCCCTTCAACTTCATAAACTTCATGATTTCCACGGCAAAAGAAACCAGAAAATACTATCAAAAGTAGTATAAAAGTCTCAGAGTGACGTTATTTACACTCCTATTATGTCATTTATACTCCAATTACTCCATTTTCATTTTGATAAAACCATATTATCCCTGCTCCAACTTCTTATCCTACCACAATTGGATGACCAACTCTAGTAAAGTTAGCTCGTGAGTAAGGAAAAGTAATTAAGGTAGGGATAATATGGTCTTGTCAAAATGAAAATGGGATATTAAAAGTACATATAACATAATAGGAGTGTGAATAACATCATCCACAGTCCCACTCAATCTAATTTGGAAAAACAAATATTCCTTAGTATACTAACTGATAATGGAAAATATATTTTCAATTTCAAAAATTTCATAGCTTTGATCTTGACCCCTGGCAATTGTCTTCTAATAATGCGAATTAATATACGTAATTTAGAAGAAAGTACAGTCATTCAATTTCAATTCTTCCTTATAATTCAAATGGAATTATGTTGATGGTTCAAATTCAAATGGAATTTCATAGGCAATGAGTCCAATATGGTACAACTTCAATATTTTATAATCAACTATAAGTAGTTTTTATCCCATGCACTTGCACAGGTTATTTTTTTAGTTTAACATATAATCAAATTAAATCTCAAAAAAAATGATATTCATTTAGTAGATAAAATTTATAATCTCTTCAAAGAGTGTAATTATCAAAAAGTAGTTTCCAACATTGAAGAGGATATGCAAAAATTAAAAATTACAGATGTTTTATACATTGGACAAATATACTAAACAAAAGCATATAATGATTAATTAATCAATTTTCTTGAATAAGAAAACAGAGATTCTTCTTAAATAGTTCATTTGCACAATCGTTTGCTTTTTGTGTCATTACTGTAATTTGCGTAGATGTAGGCCAAAAAAAAAAAAGAAAATAGGCTTATTGCTTATACAGAACAATATTTTCAAGCTATAAAAGTATAAAAAAAAAAAAGAAGGGGAAAAAGTATAATAACAACCCAAAATACTTAAGACAATTCTTGAAATGCCAACAATTTTCAAAATAGTTTACACTGCCCCATCAGGTGACCAATAGCTAAACTAATGAAGAAGTTATTGTGTTAACAGTAAGGAAAAGCAAAATCCCAAACATTTCCTCATCAAAGAAAGCAAAAGTGAAAGATCAGCCTTGAAAACGTCATAAGATGCAAGTATAATGTTCTTTTTTCTTATATTTTCCTCCTATTTATGCAATACATTTAAGGGTAAACCCCCCCCATATAGAAAAGCCTCAAGTAATTTCAAAATGTACAGTACGACATTTCATATTTTAAACTAAATTGTAAGAGTGATGAAATTCGATAAAATTAATGGGAAGGACGAAATGAGAAAAATGCCTCGATAAAACTAAGCAAATTCAGTTGAAGAAAATCATTTGTTTCATTCTTTCAAAACTAACGAAGAGAGAGAGAGAGAGAGCGAGAGACTTTCTAGAGAGAGAGAGCACAAATCAAGTGAAAGAACAACTTACGATCTGAATCAATCAGGAAGAGCGAAGAAAAAGATGACAAGGCGAAAATTTCTTCCATAAAATTGAAAGCAAATAGATATGCATATCATAATTCGTTTATGTTAGTTAGGGTTTGGAGTTAGTAATTGTGATTTGCTGATTTGATTTTCAATATTTAAAACTAAAAATTTATTTACTTAAATGAGATAAGATCTTTGGGTGTTGACCACAGAAGTCATGATTTTGTGAGTTTGGGTACTGTTATGATGGATTTAAAGTTGATATTATCTTAATTTTATTCCATTTTTAGGAAGATTTGTTTGTGTTTGAGCATGACTCTGCTAATGGTTGATTGTTTATGTTGACTATGAATCATGTAAATAATTTGTGAAAGTTCCCTTTCTCATAGGATCTATATGTATTTGAGTACGATTCAAATAATTGTCACAAGTATATATTTAATAAAGAGTTGTGTGTAGAAGTTCTAAATTTCTATACCTAAAACTGTCATATGAAGTAGTGGTGATAGTGGTCCAAAATCCCTTGTTATTAAAATTGACTGAATTTGTATATTAATTGGGGTACTAAAACATGTTTATTATATTACTTGAAATATTCCACAGAAGACGACAATTCTGAGAGAAAAGTATTCCACAGAAAAAGACAGTTCTGAGAAAAAAGTAAACATACATATGTATTTTGATGGGAGATTTAGAGAATTTCCTACCCTCCACTACACAAAAACCCATATGGCCATCTTTATAGACAGAGTTGAAGACCAAATCTCCATAATTAGCTTTTGTAGAATGTTTAAAAAATTGGATAAGCATGCAAGAGTGACCTTTTGATTTTGTGTGCCCAATAGTTGACTTAAATGGTGGCCTACATCCAATTAGGGACAGCAATGATGTTAAATTGATGAATAAAAGCATATTGAGAAATGGCAACAAGGATAATTTGTACTTGCAATGGGGACGAGCCTTTTGAAAAATCACCAAAACATGGTGGGGACATTGTGCTGGAGCCGAATTCAATAAATACTGCCCACCGTGCTAGAGCCGAATTCAACAAATATTGCCTCAACATCAAAAAATAAAGTTTTTGACATCAATGATGGTGGGGTACATAACACCACAACAGCTAAAAAGAAGTCAACTACTACTGATGATAGGGTTAGTAACACCGCAACAAAAAAGACAACAACTCCTAATGATGATGATCTTGAATGGCTGAAGGATGGGTTGGAGACAATAGAGCATGAGGATATTTTTGAAACCAAGAAAGATGTGGATAAATACAACAGACCAAAAGGCAGGTCCACTTTACATTCCAAGCATTTTTAACCTTATCATGTGTTTTCTTTTCATGCAAAGCCAACTGTGAAGAGCCTTGCCAAAAGTGGAAGTGCTAAGAAAAAGAAGTCCAATAAAAGCAAGCTGTCTGAAAAGCTTGATGCTATTGGAGAAATTCCACGTCATCTCAGATTCCATCTTAGAATCTATCTCAATTTGCATACTAGCAAATTCCATCGCAACTGAGGGTGAAAATCTTGATGAAAAATCAAAAGTAGAAGGTGGAGCTTCAGGTATGCAAGAAGAGAATTGGCAGGAACCAATGGTTTTAGATGAAGAGTTGCTGGGCAAGTGTGGATCTAATGGTGAAACCCAGCAAGAATGCCTTGGCTTTAACCCTGAGGTAGAGTTTAGAAAGCCACATTTTGAGTTGAAGATTGGGCATAAGTTTTCTAATTTTGAAGTGTTTAGATGTGTTGGTAGAATGATTGGTCAGAGAGGGACATGAGATTAATTGGGTAAAAAACTACTCGAAAAATGTCATTGCCAAGTGTGCAAAGGGCTATTTTTGGAGGATTCGTGCAACATCAATCCAAGGTGAAACTACCTTTCAGATCAAATCATTGAGTAAGCATGTTTGTCCTAGAGATTACAACAACAAGCATGCATCAGCCAAATATTTGAGTATGAAATACCAAGACAAGATGAGAGGTGACCCAAAGTGTAGCCTAATTGGGTTTCAGAATGATATTAGAAAAAACTTATGATTAATGTTTCCATTGTGAAGAAATGCAGAGCTAAGAGAAAGGCAAAAAATAACATGTTTGGCACAGACATGGAGCAATATCAATACCTTTGGAGTTATGTAGCAACAATCCGAGAGACAAATCCTGGTAGCACTGTCAAACTTAAGCTTTTATGCCTGCAGATGGTACAAATGGGACATTTGAAAGATTGTATTATTGCCTTCATACCTGCAAGCAGGGATTTCTCAATGGCTGCAGACCAATAATTGGTCTTGATGGGAGTTTTTTGAAGTCTACATTTGGTGGTCAGCTGTTATCAGCAATTGGCAGAGATGGCAACAACAACATGATTGCAATAGCAGTAGCAGTGGTGGAAGTAGAGAGGTATGACTCATGGAAGTAATTCTTGGAACTACTAATGGTTGATCTTGGATTGGGTATGGAAAGCATGCTCTAGACATTCATCTCAGATATACAGAAAGAGTTGGTCCATGTAGTGAACGAATTATTGTCAA